ATTATTTATATATATGTCCTTATTATTGTTAAACGCTCAATTTTTTTTGCAAGTAAATAGTTGATGTGAACATTCAATGCTGGTTTCTGACATTCTGTGATGTGTGAAATACCCTGAAGTGTGAGTGGTGAACATCTGCACGGTATTTTGTGTGAACTGCTGGGAACCGTGAAGTTGCGAACCATAGGCTTCTAAATATATAGTTTAGGAGGCTATGTGTGAACTGAATTTGTTCAAAATGAATTTGCTCCGGCTTATTTGTAAAAATATTATTGGGTATGGACGTGGCTACTGGCTACATATTTTGAATTTTGTTTTTGTGTATTTCTTCCAAAAAAATACAAATATGTATACACAGTAAATATTTACATAAATAACATCCATAGAGGTGATATGACCCTTAATTAAGCCATCTTTTCAAGTATCCTATTTGAAGAAAGGTATTTATTTATTTTTCCAATTGCGTATAAAGCTGAACTGTAATTGCACTATTAGCCGTGAAGTACAACATATTAAACATAATACAGCACAAATTGTCGCAAGAACTATGACAGTTGTTTCTGAAATGTTCCGATGGGCTTCTCTTACATTATGCCTGTCAGTGTCTGCAACGCAGGCAGCTGCAAGCATGCCCCAAAGACATGTACACGATAATCGCGTTTCAGATGCTTTAATCAGGCTACGAGATAACATACAGTCAGCATCTACGATGCAGAAACTGAAAGCGATGGGCATGGAACTAGAAACTGATTGGAATCTAGAGAAGAACACTGCATATGAGAGCAAAGATGAGGTTTGGGAAATGCAACAACAGAAAATGAACTATGTTAACTCCCGGGATGACTTTCACGTCGATCTGGAATTGGCTTTGCTAGCAAGGAATATGTCACAAGCATCCTACTGCTCAGCTGACTATCAGAGAGCATGGAATACTACATTATGTACGAGCACACTACCGGTAAGGTGTACTTTGACACAAGTTGCACTGTGCTTTTGAACCTGAAAATTCCGTGTTCTGCTAGACTTGATACTTGATACTTGTCTTCGCTGTACCTCTTTCACACGTTCGAATATATCCATAGTCGCTTACATATATGAATATGCACTGCTTATCGATTTTTATATAAATATATATGTATAT